CGTTGTACACCGGCCGGCTCAGTGGTCTAGAGGTTAAGCGTTCATTCATGAGACTGAAGGCCCTTAGTTCGAATCCAGCTCACGGAATCGTGGATGCAAACTTTTAAGGAGTCCCACGACAGGGCGAAACAGCCGTCAAGTGCTTCCAAGTTTTCAATGGTGGTCTTGCATTAATCGGTTCATGATTTTAGTCAAAAACAAAACATTTTGTTCGATTTTCAAATAATCTTGTCATTTTCTTTTTATATATATAAATTTTGTTCAATATCTAGGATAAAGTTTAATATTTGAAAAGAAAAAAACAAAAACAACAACCAGTAAATCAAAAAATCCAGATCTAAGAATAAGATTTTCAAAGGGGAAATAAAACCATGTTACTTTTCTTGATCATTATCGTGTTTATCTTTTTCATAATAATAACATCATTTACATAATCGACGTAAACGATAAATGTCAATGGAACTGTTAAATAATGTCAGATTTCATAATTTGAATTATTAAATTAGATAGTTTATGCGTAGAGATGTTTAGATTAATTTTTATGTAAGTGTTTATTCAGTACTTACAATGGGCAAGTTTATCCGTTTTGGTACTTTTAACGATGTCATTATTATCGCTATAATGAAAGATTAATATCAGAAAGGGTTTTGTGGATATTATAGTAATTTCAATAGTTGAGATCATGAGTCGATTGGAGCTAGACCAACATGGAAAACGTGGAAGCACTAGACAGCCGTTTCGTCCTACTGTGGGACTCCTCAGCAATGTGAACCCACGACCCCACCTCACGAGATTTGAACGCAGGATCCATTAGTTTCGTGTGCGAGCGCTTGACCACTAGACCACAATGAAAGATAACATGGAAGATAACAATTCATTAGAAATATTTAATTCTTACGAAATAACAAAGAATCAGAGAACAAGGAATGAATAAAGAGAATAAAAACTATAATAATCTACTGTTAATATTTGGGAGTTAGTATTACAAATGAATAAATTACTTTGAACTAAGCCCGTTTGAGGCATTATTTAAATAAGAAATCAGATCAATAAATAGTTAATAGTTTTTAATCCCGACATGAGACCAGGCCCAGGACCACCTTGAAATTAGAAAACATTTTATGTGCTTTATTTGTCTTATCTTGGACTCGAACAGAATGAAATCCAGGCACCTTCATGATAACTGCTAAAATCCAGGTGCTCTGTCCACGATGCCATATTATTAAGTTAGTCACTGATGAGAATGCAAGTATTATTGGTAGTATAGAAGTGTTTGCGGAGGTTATTGAGTTACCACAGTTTACATAACTTAATGATCTCAGTTAAACAACCACTGGAAATCTGAAAGCCCTGAACAGTTGTTTCATCCTCAACTAAATTTGAAATTAATTCCAGGTTTTCTATTCAGAAGCCGTAACTAGTGAAAATCAATCGCGTCTAGTGTGAGACAGCTATTCTCAGATGGCAATCAGAAATGGTTAAACAATGTCCTAAACCAATAGGAATAAAATATGCAAACCACTGGAGAGCAGCCCGGTTGTCTAGAGGTTAATTGCTCTTCATGAGATCGAAGGTTTCAGGTTATCTCCCCGGTGTAGTCAAAGGATGAGCACTGCTGAGGAATTTCGTGGTGAGACGAGACGGCTATCCAGTGCTCTTTGGTTTCCAATAGTTGGCTTAATAAAATCATTCCGTGACACATGCTATGAGAACAAACAGTGGTTAGCTGGCGAAATGTTGTAACTAAATCTGATTTGAATCTTATCAGTAATTGCTTCATGTTGCTTTAGACCACTAATCAAATCGAACACCTTTACTACGATAATTTCCAACAGTGTTAAGTGAAAGGAATTGCAACTAAAAAGAAAAAGAAATTATTTGCATAACGTATGATTTACTGAGTGTGATTTGTAATAGCAATGAACAAAACATTTCGCTAAATCCGTGTTCATTTATCACGAAATTAAACTGAGGCTCTTATACTGTTGAACCGTTATCTAACACCTGTTTTACTTTGATGAACTGCCCATCTAACATCATACGAATTTTATGGACCTTTTTCCGTACCCTCATAAAGTCATTATGAAAAAGACATTTCACTTTCTAATACTACCACATACAATCGGGACTGATAAATGAGAATACTGGTGTTACACAATCATTTATGTATGTTATATGCACATTAAACCATTGGATTATTTTGCATTATTCTGCACTAGTATACAAATACTATTTATGTTAGCCACGTGATGTTCTCATGTACATTTTATAGAAAGCCCTTAGACTATATTAGTATGAATTAGTGAAACAGTCAACCAGAAAATTCTCACTAGTTAGTATGTGATGAAAAATAGTAGTAGTATGAGTAGAACAGATTGAAAAGCTTTTAGGATGCAGACGAATAGTGAGTTCATCACTGTTGTGAAATTTTTTATGATATCAATCCTTACAAATATTGCCATTCGACATGTTTCCAAACAGGGATAAAATATATTGTTGTTTTGTCCTGATAACTGAATAAAGTGTTTATTATTATCATTATTGTTATTGTTATTATTGCCAGAAACCACAGCGCCTCTAAAAGTGCTCTTTCCTAACTTGTACAACGAAAAATCGCAAACGTTTCACAAACGTATCTGAACAGATTATGCCATTAATTGACATAACAATCTGTTAAAACAAAAAAGGAAACAGGTAAGTTGTTAAAATATCTAGATGGAAGGAACAGGTAGCCCAGACATTCAAGCAGGCCGCCTAGTTACTATCAATCCCCCTGTTTTAAATAATTTCAATGTTGAATTCATGAGATCTAAGTTCCACTGTAATCTCGTATAAACAACTAATTACTTTAACGCTTTATTTTTTTATTGAGATCATGAACCGATTGATGTTAGACCACCATTAAAACCTGTAAGCATTGGACGGCCGTTTCGTCCTATCGTGGGACTCTTTAGAGGTGCGCATCCACGACCCCGACTGCGGGATTCGAACCCATTGAACATCTTAAAAATTGCATATTGAATTTATTTTAAGGTGAAATCAATCTTTAAAAAGAACAATAATTAAAAGCTATACTGTTTATTCATTTGACTTTATTGTACTGAAAAGGAAAAAGACAAAAGTTTAAACAACAGGTTTCATTAACTTATTAAACTAATTTATTGACATTTAATTAGACTTTATAAAATACAAATAAAAATTTCAAGTGTTTTCATATTCTTTTGTTAAGTTAAATTTTAATTAAGACAACTTAGAGGAAGAGAGATTATAGGATCAAAGGATTTGAACCGGTTACAAAATATAACAGTTAACTTTTGATTGTAACTATTATTACTATTCTCTCTATGTTGTCTGTTAAAACTAAATTTTGATTGTACTTAAGTTAAAAGAAACAGTGAATGGGTTGATATAAAGTCACATGACTATTTATTACATTTTTTTAATATCAACAAGTTGATATGTTTAGCTATATGCTTTTTAGGATGAAATGCACGTTCTGGATTCCACAACTATCCACTATCCATCTTTGCTTATATGCTTTTTATGTTCTAGAACTGTCACTATTTTTATACTGTATTTAAGTCTATTTAATTAGTTGCCTTTTTTCTTTGATTAAAAGATTTGAAGAGGTGAATAGTTTAGTTTGAAAATGGTTTTCTCTAAATGCTGAAATTCATAGAACAACCATTGAAAATCAAGGAGTAATAGACAACAGTTTCATTTGAATTCAAGATTGCTGTATAGAAAGTACTAGAACAACTATTAAATTTAACAGGGAATTATCACTCAGTACGACTGTTGAACCAATGTTTTAATCATAGATTAATTCTTAAGTACAGTATTCGTAACCTGAGTACCTACGGACAAGAACTGCTTTATGAGATCAATCAGCACAGAATAAAAAGTGAAACTGAATGCTCGTCAATGCACTTACGCTAACTGCTCAGAAAATGAAGTAGAATACTTTCTTCATGACAATTTTATTAATATACGCCTCATGTACGAATGAATGTATTTTTATTGTGTCAAATGATGGAAAAAACGTAACTAGCATTACTGATCAAGTTATCTGTACGAGTTTCACTTTCAGTTTCAGCACCAAAACGAGTTATAATTAGGATCGAGCCAATTCCTTTTCATTCCCAGTCTTCAGATATTTACTTATAAATCCTGAATGTAAGGCATGAAGTATGGAAGAAGCTTTAATTAACTTATATACAGAAAAATAGGGAATTACAGTATCATGGATGACTTTAGACTCCTAGAAGTGTCTGAAAAATATGTTAAACTTAGAAGTAAATTCAGTAACTGTTCAATCAAGAAATTAAAACATGATTCGTCGTTTTCTAGAATTCTCTTGCAAGTTCCCAAGGGACGTTGATTGATCGGAGCATTTCTAAAATTCCGGGGATTTTATTCTTCAGCCAAAACTAAACAGGTGGTTAGTGTGTTGGCGATATTGAGTTTTTACAGCTGGATGACATAACTGGTCTTATTTTTCCGAAAACTCTTTATGACCGACAAACTAGATTAACCAGACGTAAATATTCTTCTTTAATATTTTACCGCACACAGTTGCTTTCTTATACTGTTATACATTTTTATATGAAAATTATATTCTGAAATAATCTCAGCAAACTTGCTTGAAATGGACTACAAGTCGCTATTTGTATTGCGATAGAAATAAATAACAAACGTAATGAATAAACAATATTAAAGCAGATAACAGTGGTGAATATCCATGTTTTTTATTCTTAAGAATGACGTTCCGTCGTTCTTATTGAAAATTATATCAAAAGATATGTTGCCAACAGGTCAGCAATTGTAATAATAAGAACTTTCTGTAATATAGATGTCAGTTTACAGATGAATTGGTGTCTGTTAAAATTTTGATACCAAACTGTAAGGAATGTTCTCGTTTTTTTATTGTTTGGCAGATTGCGTAAATGTTGAAAGAATATCAACAGATCCAATGAAACCGATATTGTATAATTCTGTTTATGGTTCATTCAGATTTTTGTCTAAAAGCTGGTAAACATTTGGACGAAAATATGCATACTGTTGATCAATATTTATCGTTTGAACAAACTTTTAAATGGAAATTAATGATATTTATTCACCTCATTTACACATCATCATGCTATTCATCGAATTCCATTACAATGAAACGTCCATCAACAGATTCTTTTCATCCATTACGTAAGTTGTATCATAAGTAATCATACTTATTGCAATACCGTTAAATGAATATAAAGGACAATTATTTTTGTACAATTTAATGTATTCTTGTATTTATTCACAACAAACTATTATATCTTCAATTCATTTCTATTCATAGTTGTTTAAGTAATAGGTATATATTGCCATAGTTTATCAAAGTAATTTCAATCAAGTGATTATGCATCAGTTAACAGTGTTTATCAGTTTACAATTCTCAGTGAAAATGATAATGAATAATGAAGGAGGATATATTGACAAACAATCCAGTAAACTGTATGGTATGTGATGAACCAGTCAGAATTTTTTTAATCTAACTCAACTTAATATTCTGTTACAGTTAGTCAACCAAGTATACGTCTTCCAATATCTGATAAGATTGATTGAATGCGTACTTGCATTAATCGATTCCACAAGAGCACCTGAGTGACGAACATGAAGAGGAGGAAGTGAATTCAGTTTGTCATTCATTTTCTATTATAAATAGTATCAGATGCATATAAATTAAAGAATTATGCCCGATTGCGAAAAATATTTGTTGCGAATATTCTATGATCTTCGTCAGTGTACTTGTTCATAAATGTTCCTAGTAATTCATTAGCACTAAGTAATATACACAACTCCTGTCACCCTTCTAAGGTTGCTACAGTTCCAAATTTCGAGTAAAGGACGAGGGTTGAGTATGGTATCAGCGACTCCATTCCGTAGACAACAGCCTTACTAACAAAATGCTAACCAGAATAAGCCACTCAAACCATTTAAATTCTGCCCTCTAAGTTGAAGGACTTTCGTTTAGAAGAATTATGACGTCTTATGGTGAAAGTTCAGATTCTCTAAAAGTGACGAGGCCATTTTCACTTCTAATATCCAAAGTAATAATTATTATAGGTACATGGAATGTTCGGACATTGTGGAAAACCTGGGAGGACCATTCAAATAGCTGTGGAAATGAGGAGATACAACTTGGCGGTTCTCGGAATAAGTGAAACCAAATGAACCCAAGCTGTACAGAAAACGTTAGACTCGAGAGAAATGCTGTTGTAGTTGAGTCAGGAAGGAGAAAATGCTCCGCACACGCATAGAGTTGCTCTGATGCTGTCCAAAGAAGCACGTAAATCATTTATAAGACGGTAATCTCATGGATCCAGAATCACCAAAGCATCCTTCAAAACAAAGAACGAGGGATCACAATGAATGTTATTCAACATTATATACTTATAAATTATGGCAACAGCGACGATCAAGATCAGTTTTACGAGAGGCTTCACTCGTAAAGAAGCTCTCAGGATGGGAAATGACCACCATGATGAGAGATCTAAACGACAACGTTGGAATGGACAACACTGCGTATGAGGACATTATGGGATGACATAGACTGACTAGAAGAAAAAGACGAGAATGGCAAGAGATTTGGAAATCTATATATACTCAACAGAATTGTTATAGGTGGAACAATAATGCCCCACAAACACAAACATAGAGCTACATGGGTCTCACAGGATCACACTACAGCGAACCAAATTAACCACGTTTGCACCAATAAAGGATTCCGTAGGTCGATTAGAGATATGAGAACCAGCAGAGGATCTTACGTAGCTTCAGATCACCACCCGGTTGTGTCCAAGATGAAACTAAAGCTGAGGAAGCACTGGACAGCTGGGGAAACAGAATTACAAAGACCCAATACATCTTTGTTTGAAGGTACTAAGAAAATCGACCAATTCAAGATAACTCTCAACATCAGGTTCCACGCCGTACAAGTTCTACTCGAAGAAGATGAAACTGTTATGAAGGGCAACTGGAAACAGATCAAAGAAGCACTAACTTCAACGTGTAAAGAAGTGCTGAACCTCATGAAGCATCATCACAACGAGTGGATCAGTATGGAAACCCTGGACAGAATTCAAAAAGGAAGAACAGAAAGACAGCAATCAAAAACAGCCAGCTGAACAAGAACAGAGGAAGTTAAAACACAAGCTGAATACACAGAAGCAAGCAAGCAAGTGAAAAAGAGTATTAGAGCTGACAAGCAGAAATAAGTGGAAGAGCTAGCAACGACGCCAGAAAAAGCTGCAAGAGAAGGAAATATGTGGCAACTATATGATACAACGAAGAAAATAACAGGGTATATAGTAAGCCAGAGAGATTGTAGTGAAGGACCTTGATCTTCCCAATCTTCTGTTGCCAGATATTACATTCCTGACTCGCGTTATATACTACTTATGTCAATATAAGTAGCACGCACCACAAGACCAGTCAAGGACAAAGAAGGCAATCCAATCGCTGAGACTTAAGAACAGCTCCACTGAACCCAACGGACATTGAAGAAACACTCAAATGTTTTCCTGTAGCTCCCACCCTACCAACAAAGATAGAGTCAACCCAGTCACACTTGATGGACAGGATCTGGAACAGGTGGAAATGTCCACGTATCTGAGCAGCATCATCGATAAACAAAAAGGATCTGATGAAGATATGAAGACAAGGAATGGTAAAGTAAGTGTAAAATTCCTGCAGTTGAAGAACATATGGAACTCAAAACAAATTTTAATCGGTATCAAAATCATAATCTTCAATCTGAGTTTCAAGACATTTCTACTTTACAGAGCTGAAAATTCAAGAACTACTGCAACCATAATCAAAAATGTACAAGTATTTATAAACTATTGTCTACGTAAGACACTCATTGTCTGTTGACCGGATACCATCAGCTACAGCCTACTGTGGAAGAGAACAAACTAGCTTTGAGCTGAAGATGAAATTAGGAAAAAAATTCAGAAGTGGGTAGAACAGACATTGAAGAAATCATCAATTTGTATCACGAGACAAGCGCTAACTTGTAATCCTGAATGGAACCCGGAAAGTGGAAGACCAAAGAACACAATGCGTCGGTAATTAGAAGCAGATATTAAAAGGACGAATAGTGATTGGAAAGAACTAGAAAGTGTTATCCGTGACAGAGTTCGATGGAGACTGCTAGTGAGCGGCCTATACTCTTCCTTGAGGGGTAGCAGGCGTAAGTAGTTAAGTAATTAAGTTGCACATAATATTCAAAACGTTGATAAATGAGCAGGACAAAGAAGTTATTTTTTTCAGGGAGCTCCTATTTTATTTCACCACACATTATCAAGACCTTTAGGCACTGTCTCACCTAGGTGGCGAAAGCTAGGAAGATACCAATTAAGAAATTAATCTTTAATTTCAGTTGTTTGTAAGTCATTTATTACTATAACCAAGGAACACGTAACAAACACTCTTACTCGTGTCGTCTAATTTTCGTGATCTTCACTTTGCCTCAGTAACAAATTCATATTTTATTTTCGCCTATGTGCACCATTCATCTCCCATGACATAATCCTGAATTATTTTCCAAGTTTTAAGTGTTGAAATTTTCGTTCACTATAACAAGTCAAGTTAAAGATATTATTATGTAGATCTTGTCTACTGATTTACCACTAAGTAGTTTGACGCATTATACACAAAAAGTTGGATCATTTCTAAGTAGTACTGGTAATAGTACAATAACGTTAAATCAATAATTTCTGACGATGAAAATGAATTATGTTCTATATATATTACAAAGACTGACCATGTCCATTCATTTGTTTAATCAATTTTATGCTACAGCTGAGAAATATATTGACCTATTAAGTCCAATCAAGGTTGATCATGATTATCTTCACTTCAATCCAGGCACAACATCTGGAACAGATTGTAATCAATGGGAAAACCGGACCTTACAAACTTCCAGTCCTACTGAAACGCTGCAATTGGACCACAATGGCCAAAATGATATATCTTTGTCCCACACACCATTATTGCCAGTCAGCTTTTTGGTTGAAATGATACCATATCCAAGATCATATCCTGGACGATCATTTTTCTTCAGTCGTCTAGATAACTTGAATCGTATACGTTTGGCTATCGGATTAAACCAATGGGGTAAAACTGGTGAATCTATGGAATTATGGATACATCATGAATTATTTTATAGTCTGGAACCAACTCCAAAAATTTCCACGTATTATATTGGGTCAGGTTTAGTAAATCATGCCGGTCTTGTAATAGTACCTTTACCGAATTATCAGTTCAATACTAACAAACTTATTACATTAATTATTGAAGTATGTTGGTATTTATGAATATATAAAGTAATAATGTGCTAAATTACTCTTTAAATTTCCTGAAATTGTTATACATACTTCGAAAACACTTAAAGACGTACAATTAGTATAGGTGATAATATTCATTATTTCAGTTTTACTGATAAACATCAATAGTTCATCGCAATCGGAATTATAAGCAAATAAGTTCGAGATATTTTAGTAGCATTTTGTCAAACCTGAGAACATAATAAACTAGCAACTACAGCTAGATTTATTTAAGGCAATATAAAAATGCTGTAAACAAATACATGGTTATTATGTTATATAATAAATCCCCTAATGAACGTGAACTCTGTGGTGCGGGTACATCTAGACGGCGAGTCCCAAATAGGATAAAACGCATGTCGTAGATTCCACTGCTAACCATCATACACCTCTGCTTATAACGCTTATGAAGTAATGGCAATACTGAGGCAATCTGAACAGTTTATAGGATGGTCAAAGTAATACAGACGAATCATATATATATATATATATATATATACGAGAGAATAATTGGGATTATGATATATATATATATATATATATATATATATATATATATATATATCATAATCCCAATTATTCTCTCGTATCTAATAATTCAGTTACTATATTTGGTCAGTTTCCTTTGCAAGACTGTCTGAAAAAATATTTCGTAAGAACTTGTCTTAATTACTCTCTTAACATGTATCCGTTCTTTATTCTAGTATAAAATGCATTAATTGTATTATTGATTGTATCAATTAGTTGATATTGTAGTTCAGGGTTTAACTGTTTAGATCAACGTTTCTGCCATATTATGATAAGTTTTAACTGAAGTTTAATAAATTAGTTTCTACTGACTCGACAACTGATTTCAAATTATCGATTTAGGAAGATATTGTTTTAAACTGTTAATTAGATGGTGGTTGGGGGTAGTCAACAGGAAACCCTGGACCCGGGTTTCGTGCTACTTGGCACTGTTAATCTTTTAACAACAGTTGTAATAACTGCCCAAACCCTGTTTGAATTGTGTTGGTTATTTGAATGATCATTTAAATTAATAAGATTAATGTGGCTACTCACCAAAACTCCATAAAACACTCTTAAACCTACAACCAACGCATATTGAAAGATAGAATAACTTTTTAGGGAATCCTCAGTCGTAACATACGACAAAATCATACATTTATGTACAAAATATTTTACACAAAATAAACATGATTAAAAATTACTGAGGAAAAGAACGGTTCTTAATTTATAGGCTGTTCAATAACTTTTGAAATTTAGACCTGATTATTAGACTTGCTTATTAACCAGAATATCAAAGATGAACAACAGCTCGATGAAAATATAACGGTAAATCGGAATGCTCTGGTTACTTATAAATGTAGATTTATACTGAACATAATCAAAGACAGGTTTTGTGGATATTATAGTAATTTTAATAGTTGAATTTTTGAGTCAACTGAAGCTAGACCACCATGGAAAACCTGGAAGCACTAGACTGATAGATCTTGGGTTCGAATCTCGCGAGGCAAGATAGTGCATGAGGCTACCACTGAGGAGTCCCATAATGGGACGAAACGTCCTTCCAGTGCCTTCAGGTTTCCCATCGTGGTCTAGCTTCTGTTGACTCATGAATTCAACTATTAAAATTATACTGTACAATAAATGGAAGTAAATCACACTGTGTCTTCCTTAATCTGAAAAAAAATACCATGAAAGATATCTAAAGGTTTAGTAATTGTATTCTGTAAACAGACCATTTGTATAGTTATCATATCATTTGAATACTTCAATCGGATTAGAAGTAATATGTATTTTTCAGCAGATAAATCAACTGACATATTCTAAAACAAAAAATAGATACAAACAATAATTCAAGTTTGTGAATCCTTAAAACTGAAATTGAAACTATGTTCCAATGTTGTTGTAAGGATAAACTGATTCTTATGATAAGAATGTAGACGTGTTTCAATAAAAAACTGGTTGTTCATCTTTGTTCGTGATTCTTTGAAAAATGAAGTGTTTTATTAAACCGTTGATTATTACATTCTAAGCAAACATGGATAGCGGCTAGCAGTGGAATCCAGGACGCGCGTTTCATCCCTTTTGAAACTCGTCAGCTGGATGTACTTGCACCTGAGAGTTGGTGTTTACTCCGGGCCTCGAACTCAGTACCGTTCGCTTCAAACGTCATCGCGTTATTCATTTAGCCACTGAGTCCTGACAGTCACCTGCCATGTGCAATGGAGTGAAGTTTAAATTCACTTAGTGTTGTTTGCTTGTATTTTCCCATAGTTGTCTAGGACTGCAACCGATCAGACATTTGTTGGCATATGTGCACCCTGCCCCGATATCAGAACAAATACAATATGAGAAAAGAAATTATAAAGATGAAAAAGAAAAGAGGAGAATGAATGATATTCATCTCATTACAGAAAAGTAGTTCAAAAGGAATGTATTAGAGAGAATAATAATCTCAATCAACGTTCATACATCGTCTAAAACAGATAAAGCTTATACGTTAGTTTTCACAGTTGCAAAGTTTGAAAAAATTGTTCATCTTTGATTGTGTATATCTTATATCTAACATTCCCTCCCCTCTTTCTCACCTTCTACTTTTTCTTATTAATTAACAATCAAGATTACAAACGCCAGTGTTAAAGTGTACAAAAACTGTAAGTTATACCATAAACCTCTATTTAGTATTAATTATCGACAAAATATAAAATACCATCATTTACATGGAGACAGATTTGAAAATAAATCAAAAGAATTATCGAGAATGGATAAATTCTATACTCTGTCAGGAGGACCATATCATGGTGACAAATTTCTAGTAAGTTATCATGTAATTTGTTGATTTGGTTGTTTCTATGATGATATTTCTAAATGTGTATTTAATAAATTGCAACTACAGTCTATTGTTCGCCTTTTAAGACTTCCCAACTTGGTACAAATAAAATTTACGTCATTTTGTATATCACGGTTTCAAGTATCCTATTTAAATATGAATCCCACTGTTTAATTCCAGTAACTCTGAAGATCAGTAAAGTAGATTTACTATAACAGCTACAACCTCTTACTGGATTGTACTTAGTACCTCTTAATATCATGGCGAGCACGATACCTATAAACTGTTGAATCTGGACCAAACAGTCTTTATTTATGATTCCAATTATTCCTTGATGTTATTCAACGGTTACCTAATTTTATCGTCGATAAATTTCCTACTCATAAAATTGCTGAATCTCAGTAGTTATGGCTTGTCGCTAGAAAGTTTGGGATTCATCTTGAAGCTGGCTACTAATGCGAATATATTGCTTCAGGATTATTAAACAACTCATCGAAGTTAGAAATTAAGGTGGTAATAAAAATGATCTCCAACTGGCGGGAGCTCACTAAGATTAGTTTAATATGCCTACTAGAACAACCGCCAAAGGTATTCCATAATAACAAAATAAACACATTCAAATAATGTACATAATTAAATGTTATCGATTTTATTTCTGAGTCGATTATTCATTTATTTTTCAATAAATGAATTTAAAAAATAATTACTTGATTCTTGGGTCATCTATCTGGTAGAGGGAATTTATAAATCTTCTTGTATTACTCCAGTTGTCGCCGGGTGTCTTATTTGCCAAATATTCCACTGTTCGCCTACACAAATAAAATCATTTCCTAGCTTGGAACATTATATTTAGTGGAATATCGTTTTTCAAGAAGTATGTATCTCTTCATCAAAGTAAACTAAAACATCAAAGAAGCGGCCTGCCTGAATATCTGGGCTACCTGTTACTGCCATCTGGATATTTCAACAAGTTATCTGTTTCCTTGTTTGTTTTTAAAGATCGTTATGTCAATTAATTGCATATACTATTCAGGTGCGTTTGTGAAACATTTACAACCTTATTCTGTGCAAGTTACAAAAATGTACACTTGGAGACATCATTATGGCTGGCAATATGCATTATAAAGAATAAGTATTATTCAAATGTCGACTTCTGAATTGCTAATATCTAAATATTTACCGTCAATATCGATCAAGAAATAAGAAAATGAAACTTTATGGAAATACTTTGGGCTGAGAATTCTATATTGTATCAAAAATGTAATTATGAAGAAAGCTAATAATATTAGTAATTACTCAATGATTCCTGATTTACAAATATGATGTTTCTTTCAATTCAGTGAACCTGAATCCAACAAAACAATCCACCAATCCAAATGGACGCTACCAACTTTAAGGTGACCTTCCAACTGTAATTGATTTGAAATTACAAATCTAACAATCTGAAGTGTTCTGAAAAGTTCATATGAAAATAATTGAGAATTCTGACTTTATCGGTCAAACAATCATTAACATATACTGCATATTAAGGGAAATATCCCCAAAATCACTTCACATTTTAAAATATTTTTTATATAAAGTTGTAGTTTACTCGTTTATGTTGTTAGTAATATATCGTAAAATATTAAAACGTGTCGATTAATTTGTGCAGTTTTATGATATTTCAGTGTACAGTCTGTCCAATGATTTGAAATCAACCGAAGTTCTATTTAACCAAACTGTAAGGACGGCGCACAGGTGAAATAGAGAAAGTTCTAAGAAGCTCAGAAAGAGGTAAAGATATTCCAACTAATCATCTTTTGGAAGAATATTCCAAAATCTCTACACGTAGCTTCCCTATTAGATAAATGTTAAAAACCCCTGTACGCGGATTGAATGACTATAATGATATCGTTTTTACTAAAAACTATAAATACTTGAGGATTTTGTACCATATTTAATACTGTTTGGAATTGCATTCCTTTCATTTGTCTTCTATCTTCTCATTTGCGTCCTGGAGGGTTCTAGCGTTCGAATGTTTAAGTTGTACGCATTATGTCAACAATCTAACCTCTAAATATAACAACTGGCGACGTGGTCAACCTATCAAAATGTCAGTTACCTTTGACCAAGTTGAAGCTTTGCTAGGGCGTCATGAAAACCTTTACGAACAGTTCCAGATTCATATTCTAGAAGCTCTAACCCAGCATATGAACCTAAACCAAAAGGGGTTTACAGATGATATGTTCAAATACCATGTTGACCACATCATTAATTCTATCCGTGAATTCCATTTTTATGCTTTGGCTGGTGTTACGTTTGAAATGTGGTTCAAGAAATACGAAGATATATTCAAGGTCGAGCTAGAAAAATCTGATGATGCCGTAAAGGTCAGAGTACTGCTGTGCAAACTTGGCACAGCTTAATACGAACGGTACATCAACTTTATTCTCTCCAAGAATCACATAGACCTTTCATATGGTACAACGGTTGTAATTTTGTTGCAAATCTCTGGTGAACAGTCGTCTTTGTTCACTATTTGTTACCAACGTCTTGAGTTGACGAAATCTGGAGACGACGGCTGGATGCAACATTCTGGCATAATAAATCCCAAGTATGGGCGTTTCGAATTATCGGCAATGACAGAAGACTAGTTTAAGTGTCTTGTTTTTGTATGCAGCTTACAGTCGCCTGAAGATGCCAATATCAGAACTAGAATTTGTTCAAATATAACGCTACAAGTGACGAATGAATTTCAGAGGTTCATGAACTTGAAACATGACACTTCTATGGTTGAAAACAGTGGCCAGTTACCATGCGTGCAGGTAATAAATGACCAGGAAGATTCTATTGTACGAAAGCAGGACAGCTCAGACAAACAGCATCCATCCTCGTATTGGTTATGCAGTGAGTGGCACTACAATAAGTTTTGCCTATATAAAAACTACGTTGTAGTAAATATCAGCATAAAGGACATTAGGAATCCTGCTGTAAAAAGATGTGTCGTCGTCCACCGCGATTTTATTCCAGGAGACATAAACCTCATGCACCAACCAGAAAAATAATGGTAGCAGACTCATGAACAAAACATGGTCGATAAGAATTTGTAACCATCAAGGTTGACGGTCATCTTGCCCATCTGCAGCTCGACTCTGTTTCCGTATTAGCCGAAGAACCTGGAAGCATATTGGAAAACCCCAGGTGTTCGCAACAACCCAATAAGCTCATAGTGTATCTGTAGGGAAATCAAATATTGTTGGACAGGTATGCTGTACAGTTTCAAAAGGATATGCAAAGATGAATGAGTAATTATACCTTACAGAGAGTTCAGGTCTAGATTAGCTGGGTCTAGACCTAATAGAAACACCTCTAGATATTCTCTCGACAATAATTTATTCACAAAGTTTAAACTCATTTGTTTCATCATTACCTTAAAATCAAAGTGATTCAGTTGACCCATCATTGCCATCTTCAAAAATAGTGGATATGAATTATTTTCCTACACTACGTTACTATCTTTGATCTTAATCAAAATTTCACTTAATGATTGAAATATATAGAACATTCTGTAATAACCTATGATCCTTTTAATTATCATAGTTTTGGTTAGATAACTCAAAATATAAATCCTTTAAAAAACACGATGTTGATTCGCAGACATTTCTTTGATTCCTTGCTAGTAAATATCAATATGCTCATATTTTTTCAACCTAGTTATACTAATATACAAAATAACTCAGTGTAATGAAGATTATTGTTGGGACGGCTTCCGAGGACTATGACAGAGCCTTCAGAGGCCTTAAAGGAGCCGAAGAGTTTCCGTCCAGTTAGAATCTGGTGGAGATGATTTACGACTGTGGGGTTCTGTACATTCGAGCACCTTAGTTGTATACCGTATTCTGAGTTAATCAAGTAGTGAACATAACAACTATCAATACTCGTTTATGTAAAAATTTATTATATCTCATTGAATCTCATTATTTCAGGGTCTTATGAAACGAATGAAAATGTTTTTTACTGAATATGGAGCTCGAAAATATTGTTCCGATGATAGTGTAAGTGATCAATATTAGTTATTGTTGTATGTTATAATAAAGAATAATATTTAAATATGCATTAAATACTACTCTGAATTACATATTGTTGAATGACTAGTTTTGACTCTCTTAATGTAAGTGAATATCCCGATAAAATTTCAAGTCAATTTTGAGATATTATTTCACTTAATAATTTATGGGGAAGAAATTATTTTTAAAGGCTTGAAGTTACCTTAATAAATTGACACAGATAAATTGACTGATAGGTCCTGGGCTCGGATCTCGCGAGGCGGGGTTGTGGATGCGCACTGCCACTGAGGAGTCCCAGGTTTTCCATCGTGATCTAGCCTCAATTGACTCATGATCTCAACCACTGAAATTACTATAATATCCACCAAATCCCCTTCTGTTAAGAAAAATAAATCTCAACGTTTCTGTTCTTATACTCTTATGTTATTTTTGAAGTATCAATCATGAAAGTTCATGAAGAGATAATCAATTTTAGTGATAAGTAATAAATCTCTGATCTTAATAAAAAAAATGATCGTAGTAAAAAGTGAATTCTCCAATGAAAAAATACAATGGACGACGCATCATTATAGAACATTGTTATTCCAAAGCATAATAAAGCAATCATTTTTGTATAATTACTATAAAACTATCTTGTTAACAGAAGGTGTGAATCATTCCATCGAGAGACATGTTTTATTAATATTTTTTCTTTCGTGTTTGAATTTTTGCTGAGTTGTGAAACTAAACAACATCTCCATAATGTAACTGTTCCTTTTGATAGTTAAATGTATTTAAAAATGCGACAACGTGTTATAATTCTCTCTTATTAAAACCCAGCTATTCCTGTTGCTTAGTATTCTTGGACACCAATTCACTCGACCAGTCCCCAAATCAGAACATGGTTGAACACGAAAAAGATTATATTCCAAATAACAAGGTTAGATGGAAGTAAGAAACACAGTAGGAAAAACGTTAATATATTTATAGTTTTTACATGAGAAGATTCTAGAGTGTTCTCCAAGTATGGACTAGCACTGATTAGATAAGAAATAGTCAGTGTGCTAACACAACGACCACTTATTTTTACAATTGCTAGCCATGAGTAAAATTTTATGAATCTTTTCACTGGATCATACGCGTTAATAATACTACGATCATGAGAATTCGTATAAAACTTTAATTGACCATATAGATGAGATTTATATACAGAAAGGAGCTATCTCTCAAGTAAAAAATTGTAATCGTCTGATCGACTTCAAATATTTCTTTAAGAAATAATACCCAATGTAAATATCCAGTTAATCAATGTAAATCTACTCTTATTGTTTACAATAGGTTGACTCCTTGGGATATGAAGAAACAGGGTAAAACTAGGCCATAAATTTTTTTTAGCATGATAACATTAATTAAAATACAAAGGTTATCAAATTTCACCGTGTATGATAGATAATCTTTACATTAACATTACTTACTTACTCATGTTACTCTCAGTGGAGCTTAAGCCGCCGACATTAACGTTACCTTTCTCGATATAATCCAGGTTACCTATTTGTTTTGTAAAAAAAAAATAAAATAACATAAATTGCCAGTGATAAACTTGTCCATCATGAAGATAGGAAAAAACAAGTAATAAGGGAAACACCTTTCTTCCCTCTATATCCACATAAACCTTGAACAAAATACTCATTGTGTGTAAACTTCAGTTTCATTCATTGGTCAAGCACTCTATGCTTAATTTCGGCTTCATTCTCATCTGAACTCACTAACAATAAATGAAAAAAAACTTTTAGATTGACAGTACTTTTAGATTATGCAATGCAATCTAATAGTCTTCATCTTCCATTTTAAAAAAGTAGTGGATGTCTTTCGTAGCTTGAATATCTGGGCTACCTATATTCCTGCCGTCTGAACATTTCAACAAGTATTCTGTTTTCTTGTTTGTTTTAACACATCATTATGCCTAGTAATCACATAAATTATTCAGGTGCGTTTCTGAAAATTTTACAACCTTTCTCTGTACAAGTTACAAAAGAGCTCAATCAGAGACATCGTGGTTGCTAGCAATATGTATCGAAAAGAATATACATTAATCAGATATCGATTCCTGAATTGCTAACTTCTAACTGATGATCACTCAATAGTTATCGTCAGGATCAATCAACAAATAAGAAACGGATACTTGTTGAAATACTTTGTACTGAGAATTCTATATTGTGCCAAGAATATAATATTGAATAAAGCTACTGATAATAATAATAAATCTTTCGCCAAAAGTTTCAATAAATAATTAATAAACATTGAATTGGTTATGTATCTTGGGCAGTTATATGCTTTAACCTGATTTAGAATGAATTGCAAGTAGAATTTTTTGAACACATAGAAACCAGTTTTCATAAATTTGTCTTTCGTATATTTGCACAGAATTTCAAACTATGCAAAAGTAGTTTAAATGAACAACATATCCGAAAAGAATGGCAGAAATTAAATCCTTTTAACCAGTCAGATCATACAGGTGAGAAAATGTGAGTAAGTACCCTATACATTGTTGTGTAACTATGTTTTCCCATTATTTTGACAACGTCATTCTCAATTACTCATTTTATGCAGAGATCTTTACATTATTCGTGTATAATACGGAATCGGATCTAGAAAAGGATGTAGTTTTCGGCAGTAATGTAAATAAAACTTATCGATGGTTTTTCACTAGCAAAAAACTTTATTTCGTTGACTAAGCCGATTCTTGAAACCGATTAAACTCTGGATCCACACTGACTTCTTTCAGTTAAAGTCTTTCTTCACACTGGTCGATAGGCCTCCGTAGTCTTTATAGTCTAGCAAATTATAATAACTAGTATAAATAATATCTCATTATTTGAAGTTCACTGTATAATTAAAGCATATGTACTAAAAGAAATATCTAACTAGGTCTCGAGTTAAAATGTGTTGTTTACTAAACCATAAATATAAAAATGAGGAGCCCTTTTAAATGTGAAAACATTAAAAAATTCGTACTTACTTGATGGAATTATTCATGAGGCGAGTGTTGAGCTCAGACTGATTCTTCTCATTGGTGCAATCATATACATGCATAAAAACTACTAGGAGTGATAATATAACTAAGTGGATAACTATATTCAGGAACAGAGTCCATGTTATTAAGTTGTTTATTACCATCTTACATTGAAGTCGGTGGTTATTGCCGTCAAAATAAAATGAGGTAAGGACGGTTTCCATTTCAAATAAAAGTCAATAGATTTCTTGGTCACTTACTTCCACCTAATTTGTTTCCATATTTTAAGTTTGTTCAGCACTCAAAATTCTTTCCATTAGAAGTTATTTTAACTAGTTTTGATCATAATATACCGTCAACTTTAAGACAATCGGGAAGAAAGAAATAACAAACAGATTCTCTATTCTTGTATGAGAAAATGGTGTACACCAAAAGACGCCAAAGCTCAGACCTTGTACATTCAGGTCTTGCAACGAGCTATTTATGTTGGAGTGATCCAGAAAGTTTCTTGCAAAAGGCAAGCAAGCATCGGGAAACACTAAGAAGCGTTTCATCCAATCAGCATTCACTTGAAGTTTTAGCCAAAAATATCAAGGAAGTGAAATGTCACTTGTAAAGGTTTTGATTGGCTGGTTGCTACACTGCTACTACGTTTAGTAGCATTCCAGAATCTTCTAGCAACCCAAGGATATTTAAAATGTTATATAAACCCTGTATTTTCTGTATTAAAATGAACCTTGGAGTAAAGTGCTTCTCGCATACTTTGCGTCTTCTCTCTCGTTGTTCAGGTCGCTGTATAGTTCTAGCTTGGGGGTTACAGAATAGCTTAGGAAACGAATAAATCGTTCAATTCGCAAGACTTATCAATTTTACTGTACATAACTGAGTTTGGGTCCTGTGATCTTCATTTCCAGCTCCGATTGATTCAATGCTTTGATTTACACTCATATATAATTCATTCAATCACGAAATGGTTGAATTTCCTCATTTAGCTTACTGTTAGATTCTCAAACCATGGCTTGAAGGAAAAGTGATGTTCACTAGATCTGGAAGTTTAAGACTCAACACTTGGACAGTTTTCAGATATTTATCAACGAGGAGTATCATTGTAGAACGGAATAGGTGTTCAGTGCTCTTTGGTTCCACAGTTAACATGAGAGAACGTTTCCAGTTAGGAAGTTATAGATAATCCAAAAGCATTGGTAAGTTGTCTTCACAGCGGTGTACATTCATGACCCTATCGGTGCTCAAATCCAGGAAATTTAAGTCTCCCTGAGGATGCTTCTGCTTCAGGCTATTGTGTAAGTATTCAGTAGTTTTCACGCTTGACTTTAGTCGTTTAACAGTCTGTTATAGGATGAAGACGAAAAACACTTTGATCTCAATGTGTTTTCAACCAAATGGTTGTTTTTGTATGACAGTCCTCATATATTCTGGTATTTGTTTGAGCATCCGTGCTATTTAATTCATTTTATAAATAAGTTAATTTTAAGTTAGTATTTATCATTAACAGATATCAAAAATGAAGAACTGTTGAAAACCACCAAAGCACTAAATCGTTACTTTATCCGAATATAGAACTCGTCAATTTTCAAGCTCATTAATAAAAAACACAACGAATAAAACCTATGAAGATAGATATTGGATTTCAGTAACCTTATTGTAATAATTGGAAGTATCCGAATTATTATACAAACTAGGAATCCCTGAAGTAACGCAATGAATGCCAAATAGAACTAAGTGAGCACAAACGAACGTATTGTATTTGAAACTCAAAATCGATCATCACCATCATCAAGTAAAAAGGAATCATTATTTTATACAAAACCTACAATTAAATTAAACCACTTTTTAAGATCTAGTGAATCGTTTTCAAGTCATTGAAACTAAACCTTGTATCTAAAGGAATTATTGAGGCTACGTAGATGTAGTTAGCACTTATTATATCAATGTCATGATCGAATTTAATGAAATAATTAAAATGGAACAATCTAGTTCTGTATTACAATCTTTTGTTTAAAAATTGAACTAATTGTTAATTTTCATAATGAAATTATCAGACTACTAAGGTAGACTTCAATATGAGGCTTTTTCTGAGATAATGAATCATGTTATGAAGTGATAGAAATTGACTCTAAATTTCATTGATATGATTTTAACCACAAAATCAAGAAATCTAGATTTGTGTAACTGATTTAGAAATTAAATGAAGAGACATTATGTTCTATGAAATGGTAAGCAGATAGATTTCATAATAAATACACTGATTGTTATCTACAGGACATTATATTCCACTAAGACATGGAATATCAAAAGACTAATCTAGTCTCTAACTATGAGTAATTAATGTTTTCAAACGATATGAAATTAGGATGAAAAATTTTCTGAATGAGTCGTCTTAAGAGCTTCAATAATAACGTAGATCTTTTAGCATCATTTGTTATCACTAGACAGCTGTATGAATCAAAATTTTAAGTAAACATATTTCACCTCACCGACTAAGGACTTGAAATCACGTTTATTATCAGCTGCTTCCAATCAGATAAATGGTTTGATTTTGAATTTTTCATTACACCAGTGACACAGATTTCAAAGGACAGTGAACTGTCTGAATTGTTCAACAAGTGACTAACAGGTTGTCTTCTTAACATGGTCCTTAATAATAATAATAATAATAATAATAATAATAATAATAATAGTAATAATATTTTGTTACGGTTTGCTTATATATTTTCATTGCCTTCTTACTTGACTAGAGCCATGATTTTATATTCTTTCGATATTTTTATTAATCGCTTCTAAATGTTCTTTGGTTTTCTTTGTGTTACTTACCCTCATAATTTTATGTCTTTTTTAGTCAAAATTATGTTCATGGTTATCCATTCCCGGTAACATAAACGATGATATACCATAATGTTCGATAACAAACTTATGTTACATGTTTCACAGAGTTAGTGAAAACACATCACTCCCTCTGATCTTAGTGTCATTAAAAGTGTATGATAAATTCGAAAGACTCTAGTTATTATTCTATCGTCTTTCTCTTCTTTCACTGGTAGCTTATATCATGATAAATTTCTAAATTTTTGATCATAAACCATTGCCTATGTAATCAACACAACTAATAGTGGGGAATTTCAATCGATCATATTGTACACAACACTATTGGCTAAAATCAAAAAGGGAATACAATAATGAAATATACAAAATTGATCCATAAATTTACACTTGATATAATATTGTTTTAGTTGAATTAAATTTGACTTAGTCTACAATTTCAACCATCGAGACAATTCATTAATACATTGTATTATTTATTGTCGCCTACATACATACAGACATACATTTAGTAATGAATTAGAACTTCCCTGTTATCAATTTCTAAAGAAAGTTTAATTTATCTTATTCACATTTTCTGCCCTTATCATTGAATAATTTCTATACAATATGTGTTTATATATAAGTGAAGAATAAAATTTGGGTATTATATTAACAGGTGATTCAGTTACATAACTTTCATTAATGTACAGTGTAATTAAGCATTATCTAATAATGAATTGTGAATAACTAATTCATTTATTACATAACATGATCATTGAAGGCAATGAGACTATAAATATCTGAACCGTAAAAACAACACTAAGATAATTGTTCTAATTCACTTATAGGTACATGTAAATCATATTTTTCCCATATAATATCACATTTATCTAACTGATTCAATGATAACTAAATCTATTTCTATCTTATACATTCTATTCATTTATTTAGTTCAATTAAATAATAATGAACAGATCAGTGGTAAAATCAATCAACAATTAAACAATAATATCTATAATAGAACAAAACAATCATTTAACAATAACAGTGATGTAACCGTAAAAAATCGAATGAAATCAAATAGATGTAATCAAAATATTCATGAAGATAATTGTACTAAATTAAATTTGAATAAGTCGGTGAATAATGTAAGTTCAAATTTTGTTGTATATATATATACATTAAACGTAAATTACTTAGTTGCTTACGCCTGTTACTCCCAATGGAGCATTGACAGCTGACCAGCATTCTCCAAACCACTCTAACCCGAGCCTTCTTTTCTAGTTCTATCCAATTGTTATTCATTCTTTTCATGTCTATCTCCATTTCTTAACATAATGTAATCTTTGGTCTTCGTCTTTAAAATTTGGCCCTGAGGATCCCAAGTAGGAGCTTATCCTATCCACTTTCAGCACGATTTCCTGAATTCTTTCTCTACTGGAATATGGTTTGTTATTTTCGATAGTAGGTTGTTGCTGATAGTGTCTGGCCAATCTATCGGAAGTATTTTGCGTAGGCAACTGTTAATAAACACCTGTATCTTTTGGATGTTGGTTTTCGCAGTTCTCGAAGTTTCCATCCCATACAGCAGAACTGTCATGATATTTGCATTGAAAATTCTGACTTTGGTGTAAATAATAAGATCTAATAAGATCAAAGAGTTCATTTGAAGTTAGTTTAAATGAAGTACCCAGATAGAAAAGTGTAAAATAACCTTTTGTGAACCGGTTCACACATTTCGTCAATAAAATTGATAAGATTTGTATATTTTTTTATAGATTATACAGCTTAATATTGACAGATGATTGGGTGATAGAGAATACAGTTATCCACTCTTTGGTAACTTTAACAAATTTAAGCGACCCAATAAGAGTAGAGAATAAACATCCATCATCCTCTATTGTCAAACACATTACTGAAACATGTCATAAGATTGATCTTCACTCGGCTTTTTTAGTGTTGTACAAAAGTGTTAAAGGGCGTTTACTAAGGTTTATTGAATCCTTAGCCTTCCGAAAATTCAAACCCCCTCTTTGTATTCAAAACGAGCTTGTTCTCACCTTAAACTTACCCTGGCAATATTATCCAAAGTGATGAGGGTTCAAACTGTTTCCAAATTATTTCTTTGTTATCCTTGTCTCCTCTTAGCCTTCATTTCTAGTCTAGTCGACCTTCTAACTTTATCAGTATAAAGATTATGGAGATTATTAAGTCTTTAATTGAGATCATGAACCGATTGATGTTAGGCCAACATAGAAAGCCTAGAAGCACTTGGTAGCCGTTTCGTCCCATTGCGGGACTCCTGAGCAGTGCGCATCCACGATCACGCTCACGGAATTCCAACACAGGGCCTTCAGTCTCGCGCGCGAACGCTTAACCTACTGGACCACTGAGGCGGCGTCCAATGGTGTTAATGTTTTACCTTTTAACTTTATATATAAATGTTCTTACCAAGTATATTGTGTGTGATTAAATTATTCGAAATGTATTGCACTAATATATCATCACATAGTTCTGATAATCTTTCTCTTCATATTACGCTATCGAAATTTATCAAAGGGAATAATTGCTTTAAATGAAAATTAAATAAAACCCAAAAGTTATCTAAGAATTCGACCACTTAATTGATCGAAATAAAAAAGTAGACACTTTTTCCAGTTTGAATGATTTGTAAAATTTATTGAGCATAAAGAATCTCTTCTATGGGGAGGGGTTTAGAGTCGCCTTTCTTCATCTTTATTACACCTTTCAAAAGTTTACCTTTTCTGTTAAATTATTTTTGGTATACGAATCTACAATATACATGTAGATATAATGCTTGTTTTTTCGACTTTATGAATGATTAAATCAAATTTCATATAATCAGAAACGTTATTCGATATGATAATGATGTACTAAATGTATCTAACTAGTTAATCATAAACCCAGATGTTGAGATGGTCTAGAAGATTTGTAGCCCAGGTGGATGATTTTGATGGAGTTTTGTTTGGTCGTGGAGCTTTCGTCGTTCTTCTCAACGACATCTTCAGCACAAGCTTCAGGTAGAAGTGCTGACGATGTCGTCCAGAAGAACGGTGAAAGCTCCATGACCGAACCATCCAGCTTAGAGAAAAAACCATAAAAAAGCACTGATGTTGATAATGTCAAATAACCATGAGATAAGGGTCAAAAGTTTAGAAAATGAAACAGTAATCCATCGAACTACCAATTGATAAATATAACATGGTATAAAAATAGACTAGATTGTATTTTTCATGTTGATTTACTTATTATTTGAAAATGTATGTATATCATCCAAACGGTTATAAACATCAGATTGGTTCATTATTTAAGAGTCTATAATATAGATATTTCACTGTACTCATAATTCATACTTTGGGAAAAATCATTCCATAAGTTGTAAAGAAACTTGTCAAATGATATTCACTTTCATAGTTTTATACTTATTACACTCAACACAAACAGATACTCAATGAGTTTATTTTACTTGCTTCTGAGGTATTTTGAAACAGGAAACAAAAATTGCTTGAAACTGTTGTCATTTTGATGAAAACAAATTCATTGATGTAAATTTTTAAACTAATATCAGTCATTAAGATCCCTAAGTTTTTTATTTCTGCAGCAATTTGGATGACTCTCCCGATCTCCCGCATTGTACGAGCATTCTATACACCTAAATTAATGGTTGGTCTGGTTGTCAGAAGGGGCATCAGCCTCGTGACTTCCGATGAAACTCGGCTATCCCCATAAGGCGTCATAACTCTTCTAAATAAAGACCTTCTAACTCTCAGGGTAGATTTTAAATGGTTTGAAGTATTTTTCCTAGTTAGCCTTTTTTAGCTAGTTTTCAACAGGATGAGGTCGCCAACCCTATACCCAACCCTCCTCCTTTGTTCGGGCTTGGAACCGGCAGTAGCCCCAGAAGGCCTCCAGGTGGAGTTAATTTTTATGAATAATAAAAACTCGATCATTTTGCTGGGGAGACGCACCTGTTTCCAGTCATTAAGACTAGTTCTCATATAATAATAGCATTGATAGGACCGAATCACAGAATTAGGAATTAGATAATATGATATTATCAGATATTTTTCATTGTTTAGAAATTCAGATAATTTAGCAAGTACGCTGAAAATCAATTAACAATGAAAATAACTGAAATGTTATCAAATAATATTTTAGTCAGATACACGGTAAATAGCTGGAAAGTGTACGGAATGCAGCGAAAAGTTTCAGCAACGAGCATAATACAATGACTTCTAATGACAGATTTTATTTACAGTTTGGAGAAAATCAAATGGACTGTGTTTTTTTGTTGAAAATCTTAGTTCTAGGGTTACATGTTACAGTACATTACATTTTCATCATACAATATATTGATGAGATTAATAAAGAAATACATAGATAACAACAAAGGGATTCATAAGTAGTATATTTTAAAAGAAATCACATATGCAATTCCCAGTTATCATGAATTCTTTATATTAAAAACTACATTTGTTTTGGTTGGTATTAACATCAAGTTTCCCACGAATATTAACTTCTAAGCCTATACAGAAGGGTTATGCTTTACAGTGAAGGTTTCAACAGGTTATATACAATAATACATTTGAAAGGTTTACTGATTATAAAAAGGACTAATGACTTAAAATGCTGTTTTTTTAAGAAACAGATTTGAATTCGTTTGCTTCTAGTTTCCAAGTGAATTGGAATGTATTAACTCTTTTTCCTAAAGAAAACATGAAACAAATCTGAGGGTCTTTGGTCCAATCATTCGATGGCTCATAGATACACACTCCTGAAGAATTTTATTCGAGAATGCTACAAAAACAATGGTTTCACGTTTTTATTGGTATCAGTCAAACAAATGCAAACGATTAACTCTTGAACTAATAATGACTAATTATAATCATCTGACCTAATCTCTTCAATTAGCTACATAGAATAGTCCTGTCAACAACAGAAAAAATAAACACGATGACTGATCACCGGATAACAAATTTACTCATAACCTAATTTTACTGAATTACTAGTCAGTATAGTATTTCTAAATAACTTCTTATCTAACCTCAACCATCAAATTTGTACTATCCTTATAAAGATTAACTGAGAACTTTTTTCCGAATTTCTGTACAAAGTAAGTTGAATAATCATTAATGATTATCAACTAAGTGATCTTTTTGTAAAGTGGAATCTTGTATTTTTTTTATACGGTCTAACTTAGGATGCTCCCACCATTTTCTTAAAGTTAAATTAAGAGAAAATGAAGTTGATCTAATTAAACTATGATTTTACTCAGTTCAACAAATGACATAGATTCCCCAGACATGTTGCTATCAACTGCATGTAGTTAAGGAATAACGATTAAGATGGTAAACGCCTGATTTGTAGCTGTTGTTAGTATTTTGTTTTTGCAATGTAATACTGGATTTGGTCAGTCTCTGTCGGCAAACAGGTGCACCGTTTGTGGAATACATGATATAACCTTCTAGATTGCTCTGTAAATAACAATTTAGAAATGTACAGGTCAACATTTCATCTTGAAACTAGTCAATAATAATAATAATAATAATAATAATAAGCGGAATGTGATGATTTTTGATAATCATCTACTGACGATCGGATATGAAGGCATTTTCATGTATAATTCTATGATGTTCTGCAAAAATACAAAGTAGCTATTCAGCTTTTTATTACTATTCTTCATAACTCCATAAATCTTAGTTCCTAATGATCACTTTTTGTTTAACATATTTTTATGATCAAAACCCATTTCAAATGTTGTGGATGCGCACTACTGAGTAGTCCCATACTATGATGAAACGGCCATCCAGTCCTTCCAGATTTTGAATGGTGGACGGATGAATTCAACTATTAAAAGATCAATTTCACAGTTTGATATAAATTTTTGTTTATTAATATACAATAGTCATCATGGAAAAAAATTCATAAGTTTCCTCTTTTCTTTTCCCAATAATCGTAACTAAAATTATCATAAAAACGAAGCATAGTGATTTATAAACAAATACATAGGTTTGTCCGTAAATACACTATGGATATTTTTTCTAATATTTATATAATTATCTACTTATATTAAACAACTACAGAACAATTAACAGTCTACTCGTTCCCTTTATCTTCCTTTTCTACT